GAGTGCATAGATCGAAATGGTGAGAACTCGCAACAGATTAGGAAATGCTAATGGAAATCGAAAGCCTGAAACACGAGTGATTGAGCGTGCACCAGATGTAGTAGCTGCACCTGAGCCAATCACGATGGCAGGAGTCCATGTAATGGTTCGGGCTATGATGGCCGCACAAAGGGAGGAGATGAGGCAAATGTCGCTTAACAATAGGGATGAACCTATTGTGCCTATTGTGCAGCCTGAACTGAACATCGAATAGTCAGAAGAAGGGAATTACATTAGAACCATTAGTCAAGCTGAACCGCCAGTGGTTAGAAGAAATAACCAAGATGAAGGAATTGAAAAGGAACAGATACAAGTATAAAGAATTCATGACTTGCAATCCATCAACTTTTACTGGGAAAGAAGATCCAATCGGAGTTATTGACTGGATCTCTAAAATGGAGCTAGCTTTCATAACATGTGGTTGCAAGGGCAAGCTACAAACCACTTATGATGTGCGTCAGTTTAGGGGTGGTGTTGTTCGTTGGTGGAACACTTTGGGAAAGACCATAAGCCCCAATGAGCCACTACAACGGACATGGGCAAAATTCTTGGTACACTTTACACGCAAGTTCTGCTCAGCCCAAAACATGTTAGAGGTGGAGAACCAGTTTCTGACATTAAAAATAGACAACATGTTCATTGATGAGTATACCAATGTCATCACGGACAAGAAGGAGTTTGCTTTGTGCATCGTCCTTGACGAGCTAACAAAAATTGATAAGTATACAAAGGGACTACCATGGGAGTACACTGTGCCAGTACGCCAGTCACCTACTCTTGAGACGGCCATCTGGACTGCTAAGTCTGTTGAAGAAATGATCAAACGCAAAATTGCCAATAAGGTTGAAGTTGGCGAGAAGAGAAAATTTGAGGGGTCTTCAAGATCCGAAAACATAAATAGGTTGCCAAAGTCTAACCCCAACAACAATAGGTATGGGGATAACAATGAAGAAAAGTGGTGTGACAAGTGTAGAAGTAAACACATTGGGAAATGCGCTAAAGAGGTGACCTGCTTCAAATTTGGGAAGACCGGTCACTTTGTGAACGAATGCAAGACCAAGAGAGAAATCCGCTTTAAGTGTGGCGAAGAAGGACACTTCAAGCAAGACTGCCCAAAGAGGGAAGGATCTACAAAGCCAAATGTATCGCCGAAGCCAGAAGAAAGAGCATTCCAGATGATCCTTGATGAAGCAGGTGACGATGCGAGGGATCAGGAGTACGGATCTATATATCCAAAGAGCGGGTTATAAAGTAGCCATATAGATAGTATCATGTAGTGTAGCCTAATATAAGAGGCATAGTATAGGTTGAACTCGAATGTCTATGTAATCGTTTTAAGAAATAATATAAACCTTAGTTATGTTATCCGATGTGTTAAATGACTATGTGAAATTCTTGTATGGTGACTTGGAGAACTGAGAGGCAATACTTGGGACGAGTCTGAGTAGGTGTGAAAGGTAGTAGAGGCCTATACTACCGGAAGCACATGACTCGTACTTGGATCAGGGAAAGTCAAAAGGTTACCAAGGCGCTAGTAATTGATTCTATTTTGTTCATGTCTGTCGTTACCATCATTTTGGTAATGACTAAGAAGATGATTATTTTTCCGACCCTAGTGGTCATATCAAATCGAGTATGACTAAGATATGTATGTTACGTGGTTCAGAGAACCAAGATTGATGTAGCATCTGACTTAAACCAAAAGATTGAAGTGAGAGATAATCGAAGCGATCAATAGAAGTATCGTGGTTGCCGTTAAAGTAATAAGTTTGTAGCTAGAAATACTACATGCTAGAATGTGATTATATCACATCAGAACATGAAGGAAGGTAAACATGTCCCTGACCGTGAATTTGGAAATGCTAGAATGTGATTACATCCCAATGTTTTAATATAAATAAAATACATTTCTTCGGAAATGCTTTGATAATATATTTATCATATTCTTTAGGACAAATTCCGTAATAATATTCTTCAAAAAAATATTCTGATTTTAAAATAAGCATAAATAATATTTTTAAAATGACCATGAATTTGGGGATGTCAGAAGATTTGTTTGTGGGCTTAGAGAATATGAAGGAGAAGTGTTTGAAATTTGTGGTAAATGACTTCGACACTTTCACTACAACACCTGATGAATCTGTTGCCTCTGTATCAAATCAGTATAGGATCGTGGTGAACAACATGATAGAGCATGGTGTAGTTTGAACTCGTCTCGAGTATAACCTCAAGTTCATCAACAGTCTCGGAAAAGGATGGGGAAATGTTAAGTCATGTCTTTAGAGTAATGGATCTCTGAAGAAACTGGAGCTCTGCCAATTAATTGACAAACTGCAAGATCATGAATCAAACGTTGCACAAACGTAGAGAGAACTCTTTGGAGGTCCTCTCGCTTTAGTTAGTTCGGTAAATCCACTACTTTCGAACCCAGCTCGGACCCTTTTCGAGCCATCCCACCTGTCCCACATGTTCCACTTAATCGACCTATTCCACCTGTTTCCCCTGTTCAACCAATTCCAAACTATCCATATGAAGAGTATTTTGATCTAGAAGCCGCTGATTCCGAACTTTGTTTCCAGCAAGAGTTTGCACTTCTGTCTATGAAGTATAAAAGACCTTGGAATCTCAATAAAAAAACCTTCCCAAAACCACTTTCAAGCTCCCCACTAAAGCAATCCTCAACCTTACCCTAAACCAACCGAAAATCCACCAGCTTTTAGACCCAACATTCCAAATCGCTCATCGGAACCTCAAGAAGTTCTGAACTCAGCTAAACTCAAGATTGTTTGTCACAAATGTGGTCTCGTAAACCACTATGCAAATGACTATTTAGCTGATGTTCCTCAGAAACCAAAAGTGAAGGATTCTGCCTACTATGCACGCAGAGCACAAGAACTTGTTGAAAGTGAAAAGGCATTTTTCACTACATTTTCAATAAATTTTGAGTGGTACTAGTCATTTAGTGATGAGGATGAAGGAAAATTTAGGAGAAACTTGTGTCTAGTGGCTAGGCAGACAATTAAGTGTGATGAAGATTATTGGTCTTCCAGTTCGGAAGTTGATGATGAAGATGCTGACCCAAATTACTGCTACATGGCAACCAACGATCCACCTGGCCGTAGCACCATTCAACAGGTAAAATCTATGATTATTGAAAATAAATTTGATTTATCTATTTGTGAACCTTATCTAACTCAACTTCAATCATATATGACAGTTATTCATAAAACATATGAGTCTGCCATATAAGTTTGTGAAAAGTTGGATAGTGAGTTAACTTGTCTTAGATTACGATTCGAAGACCACAAGCTTAAGATTAGATAATTAGAAAGAGAACTTATAATGGACAAAGATGAGTGTATTATTTTGAATGACAAATGTAAAATTTCATTTAGTGAAATACATATTTTGGTTACTGATAACAAGCGTCTTAATGAAAAAATCGATAGTCTACATAATTCGATTGATGTTGTTGAAGGTAATGAAAGAATGTGACATCCCAGAATTTAGGTCAAAGACTATGAACTGTTAAGTTCACAGTAAGCCTTTTGGTAATTTGAATCATTGAGTTATAATGAAACTAATGTAAAATAAACGAGTTATTTCAACTATTACAAGATACCAGACGGTATCTTACTTCCAAATGTGTAAATTGACAAACAAATCAAACAGCTCAAACTCCAACCATAGCAATGCGTCTGAAAAACTGGAAATTTGTGTTAAGCAGTTGTGAGCAATACAAACATTCTAGTCTCGTAGTACATGTTTCCCTGTTTCCGAAAATATAAAGAATGTCCAAAACGAAGTTCGTATGCAAAAGATACGTCCGTTTTAAGAATTCAAAACCAGTATAATACTGATTTTTTTAAAATCGCTAAAACCGTTTCTAACCGTTGAGGGACTTGCACACCTCAAATGGAATTTCCGAAAGCATTTTTGGACTCAGGCTGTAACCTAATATTTAAATTCAAATTTGAACTATTTTTGGTAAAAATATTTATAAAAGTTAAAAAATCAAACATTTTCAGATTTATTAATCGGGGAACCTTGAACTATTGACTTCGATATAATTTCAATTCTTGGTAATGTACCCCGAAATAATATATATAAATCCAATCAGGGTGATGAAAATTTTGAAAGTAGAAATGACACAATATTTCTAAAATTCGTGCATATATTCATATGTAAGGAAACGTACTTTTATAACAATTAAAGATGTAATTGGTTATGGTTTTTATAAAATATACATCATGTATGGCAAAGAAACATCAAGTAACCGCAATGTATATATGTATACAATTATAATATTGTAACAACACTACTATACATATGTATATATAAGTCTTATAGGGCTTCCAAAGACTAATATCAATCATGTACAACAATTTTTTGCTCCCATTACTTGCAATACTCGATTTCCCTTACATATATCATATACATATATAACCAACCAATAATATGTGTATACAGGGATGAACATATGGACCGGGGAACCGGCCGGAACCGGTACCGGAACCGGAACCCGATGGAACCGGTCGGGCCGGGACCGGGACGTTATTTTTGTGGATTTTTGGAACCGGGAACCGGTAGGAACCGGACCCGATATAACCGGAACCGGTAAAACCGGCAAAAACCGAAACCGTATGATGCTATTTTTCAAGGACCGGTTCCAACATTTGAAGACACGACAAGAATCGGTAGAACCGTCGGGCCGGTTCGGTTCTTGATTTTGGCCGAAGCCGGTTTTCCGGGTTGGGTCCGGTTCGGGCCGGTTCGATCCTTTTGCTCATCCCTATGTGTATAAATGCATTATATGTAAATATAATCGTTTTCAAAAAGCTGCCTATGAGATACTGCACACTCAAATAAACAATACACACAAGAAGTTAAAGAAAATATTGCAATGGTACAACTAAATCCCAAAGAAATCTAATTGGGTAGAAAATCATGTTTCTACGATACCACACACAAAAGGAATACCACACACAATGAAATTGGACAATCCTACACTCAAAGCAAAATATATTATAAACAAATCAATTGAGGCTGTGAAAACAATAAACCAAAACACATCCATATTCTTTCTTTCTGCATCGATCCCAGCCAAGAACACCTCCAAATGGAGGTGTTGTTCATACGTATTTCAGCTAGCCAAAAAGGGCAGCAACACCCTTAGTTTCTCTTCTTCTTTCCCATCGATTTCACAACCCCCATTGTGCTCCTCCTTCCCTGTCAAATGAAGCAAACCAAACACCTTCCTTTTGATTATCGATGTTTCCTTTTCCCCTGTCAAACAGTAAACTCAAACACCCATTTCCCCTATCGATTCCTATCAAACATCAACACCCAAACATCCAATTTCCAATGATTTCTATAAAAAAAAAAATAATAAATAAATAAAAAATAAATAAAAAAATAGAAAGAAGATCAGGGGAGCTGCCGGAGCAGCCCCCGTCCACAAACCTTTCAACCACCGAGAGCAAAACCCACCGAAGTGGGTGTTTCCCCGGAGCAAACACAGGAGGCGACAGCCCCCTCTGATCCCTCGACCTCTGTCCTACCGCGACGACGCTGCTGCCCTACCCCATCCCGTTCTTCCCTTCGGCCCGTCGAACCCAGGAGAGCACATCGGTTTGCGAAGCCGATCGACGAAACCGTTTCTTCCCTCCTTGCCTTCGCAACCCCCTTAGGCACACCGAACCCTCGTACCTCCCTTTAACACCTCACTACCGGAGATGCCTTCCCCCTTCGACCTTACTGTTGCTTCCGTGCGTCCTCCTTCCTCTCTCGATCGAAAACCTCGCCCCTTGCAAGCTTTCATTCGTGTTTTCTTCGTGATTCTCCCTGATCAGACGAGGACCGAACCCCCAAATAAATTTTTTCCCGATTTCTGTTGAATCCGTGTGTTCCATTCGTCTGTTTCGTTCGTAATATTATATCCGTCTCTTTTTTTGCCCGATCAGTCCAAGTGACGATGGCAAAAAGCCCTAATCCTCCTAAGTTTGAGCCATTAAACACATCTAGCTCCTCCATTTGCAGTTTTAATTTAAAATCATCCCATTTGCAAATATTTAGTCAAAACAGCCCTTATTTGAAATATCTAGCCAAATAAACCCCTCAATTGAAATACTTGATCAAAAATAGTCCATTTGTGATTTAAACCATTACCAAAAAATTCCTATAGTTTCTAAAAAAAATAGAACACAATAATCCTATTATTTTATTCGTTACAAAACAACCCCTTTCAGTTAAAAATATTACAGAAATTCCCCAGGGTTTGTTTTAGCTCAAAGGACTGGGTTCTCATGCGAAGCTTCACGAAAATGAAACCGATTCCGTACAAATCGAACTCACGCTTCAAGGGTGAGTGCTTACGACCCCTTTTAAATATTTTAATTATTTCGGGGGGAATACATATGCCTATATATTTTGTTTATACAAATATATTATCATTTATGCGAAAATAAAATAAATTTAGTTTATAAAAATGTTATTTAAAAATTTAACATATTGTTGCAAATAACTTGTATAAACTTTTCGTAGACATATTATGGAATTTTTATCGTGAAATAACTAGTCCACACGACAAATGTTACACGATACAAAAATATATTATTTTTATGTGACGTTGTAGATTATGACAAGCACATTATAACACTTTGTATTATTTCAAGGATTCAAGCTATTACTATTCATGTATATTTATACGTTTAAATGCATAAATTTTATACATGTACATATGTTCATTACTTTGAAAACATACATCTTTATAGAAGCAAGTACATTACACTTTTACATACAGGTCAAACATACTCCGCTTTTATAAACCTTATACAACGATATTCATTATGCCTAGTGACCTAATCACAATTAAGTTAGGGCTGAGAGTTATTCATAAACTTTTTAGTTAATGGATTTTTAGTGAGACGTTATTCATTAGCTGAGTTTAAACACTTAGCATACCCAGACTACTATAACCGTTAATCTTCGGAGCAAGATACATATGTATAGATCTATACGGGGTTGACATCCCCACCCGCGGTTGCTAGCTACAACCCTCGACCAATCAATCGAAACGGGTGATATGTGTCTACAATTTTTACTACAACGTCCAATGAAGTGTTGTAGGTGGTATACTCAGTCACATAGCTCGATTATAGGACTCACTATAAACATTAACTATAATATATATA